AGTAATAACAAAAGGAAAATGATTATTACTTGTTATAAAATTAATACAAATAATCATAATTTAATAATCATATTATAAGGCGATCCATAATGGGGCCTTTGAGCCTTTGGCAAAATCATGAAAATCGCATAGAAAGGCGATAATTAAAAAGGGATTGTTATGTCCCTACAAAGAATATTCGAATTTTGTCACGACTTGTGTAACGCATGCTGGCTGCTACAGTCTAACATACCCGTTTGGCAGCTGATTCCGTTTAGGTGGCATCAGAGAATTGCTAGTGCAACTGTAAAAACTGCTGGGGATGAATGCAAAGCAAATGCAGAGCGCAGAAACAGGCTCGCCAGAAAATGTGACATGTGCATTGTATTATGAAACTGATGCTGTCTCTGCGCCAGTGCTGCCAGCTTTACAGAGACAAAAAGTTGTTGCTTTGGTGGGAAAAGCTGGCCAAAAAAAAAACACATAATGCTTTATAAGCCTAATAAGCTTAACACATTTAAACTAATGTCTGAATAGTTAATAAGGTGTTTTGTATATTTTTAATATAAAAGTAACATATTAAATGGCCAGAATTTTCACACATTTTGATAAAAAGCTAGATTTGGCGGAAAGAAGGCGAACTTGACAACACAGCTCGGCGCTCGATGTGCCCCTTTGTTTTTGTGTGTCAAAAGCTGCACTTTAGAGACGCAGAGCAGAGCCAAGAGAAAGACAGAGACAGCGAGAGAGAGCAAGCGAGATTGTGTAGAAAAGAGAGAGAGAATAAACAATTGGACGTGGGTCAGGGTCAGACATCAGCCAGCTGATGGGCAAAATGTCAATTTGCAACAGACTTGTAGGTCAATACAAATTATGAAAATTGATAGGCACAGCCCGAAGCTGGATGCCACACGTTGGGACAGCATGGACAAAAGGCAGACGAGACGAAAGTGACAGAGAGGCAGCGCATAGAAACATAATGAAATTTCGCAATCTGTTTGAAAAGCAAAAGGCAGATTAAGTGAACATGGCCTAAATAAGATAGAGTCAAGTCAAACAAGGGCCTTTTTATGGCCATTTTAAGGCACTTCATCAACGTGCTCGACTCCATTTAGCTCTCACTATATTGCTGATGCAACAACGACAACAACGACAACGACAGCGAGAACACATAACTACAAAACATAACTCATATATCTGGTACTTATGTTGGGTTCCCTCTCGCTCTCGCTCTCCCTGTCTCCCTCTCTCTCTCTCTCTCTCTCTCTCTCTCTCTCTGAATGTCTCTGTTTACAGTTGTTTTTGCTTGTGTTTGCATCGTTTCCGGTGGGAATTCTAAGCACAACTTCCACATTGGTGCAACAGAATGTGTGGAAAGCGGCGTCCAATTTGCTGACTAACATAAAAACTGCATACGCTGGCAACTCTATCCGCCTGCAACCGCCCACCGCCCACCACCCACCGCCCACTGACCATGGAACGCCAAGTGCGATTACCATAGCCAAGTTGTGAAAGGCTGAAAAATCTCAGAATGAGGAGCTAAAAAGTTGCAGCCATTGTACGAGTGTCCGTGTGTGTGTGTGTGTGTCTGTGTGTGCTTGTGTGTGTGTGTAAGTCACAGTTATCCTGGCATTTTTGCTGGCTGCGCCTCCTGGGAATTACCTTGGTTACAGTTTCAACATTTTTATCTGCCCCGAAATTGTTAAAACCGAGAACCTGCCCGGGGGTAGGCGCGGCGAGCCAAGGCTGTGGCAAAGCTAGAAGGCTAGAGCATTACATATGCACACACACACACACACACACACATATATATATATACACATGCATGTGTGGGTGTGGGTGTGTATCTATGTGAGTTTGTCCACGAATGCGTTTGTGCATAAATCCCAATTTAATCCATCCGGCTTTTAGTTTGTACATTTTTCAACTCGATTCGTCTGCATTTTCCACCTTATTTTATTTTATTTTATTTTGATTCTCTTTTTCTTATTTCCTTTAAATTGTCTCCGGTACTTTGGCTAGCGGGCATGCATAATTGCATGAAAACGTGTAAAGAAATCAAATTAAAAATATTTAAAATGTCAGCTCTCAATGGTTTGCGCAATAAGTTTTCACATTTGTGAGGAACCGCTGCTGCAAATTTACCTCATATTTCTTTAGTTTATGTGCAGAAAAAAAAAAGAGAAAATCAAATCTAATTAAGTGTGCGAGTGCAATTCTCAGTTAGCTTAAGCTCGAAAATTGTCAACTCTATAAATGTTTTATTTCCAATATTATAGAGTCTTAAGTACAACAAGAAGTCGTGCACTTTCAAGAGTATTTAATATTCGGCATCGCCAAGATAACATTTCGTTCTTCTAGCGAGTTTTATTTGATTGTCTGGGAATTGGGAAACTGATCGCATAACGAAAAGATATGCACATACATGTACATATATATTCATGATCAGCATCAACTGGCAAGAGTAGATAAGCCTCTCAATCGCAACATTTCATGCTGCAGGCAGTATCCATTCCAAGACATCTCAATCAAAAGCCGCCTTTAAGGGAATATTCCTACCAAAAGCTTAAGTCGCATGTCTTGCAGGGTATGCAATCGTCGTATTTTTATATTTTTCATTTATTTTACCATTGATTCTGTTTGCAGCCAAGGAACACAACGAACCAACTGACCAACAGATTGTTGCATCTTTTTTTTTTTCATTTCATGTTTTAAACACGAGCAGATTTTGTTGCAAGTTCAATTGTTGTTGTTGTTTTTCCTGCTGGCGGCGCTCTGTTGGCACTTCCCTGGGAAAACTGTTTCGTTTGCAGGTAAGTTTTTCGATTCTAATTCATGTGTCGCAGGTGCTAGCCATGCCCCAACCGCAGTCGGGCCACACTTAAGCTTAAGCATTGCGAAACAATAAACGATAAGCCGTCTGATGACACACATTTGTATACCCTTGCCGAGGGTATTATAATTTAATCGTGAAATGTGTAACGCATAGAAGAAGACATCAGTTTCAACAGCCGAGTCGATATAGCCATGTCCGTCTGTCTGTTTCTATGCAAACTAGTCTCTCAGTCTGAAAGCTATCTTTATATTGCAAAAGTCCGTCTTTCGCTTATGCCAGAGCCAGCTGGATCGGACCACTATATCATGTATCTGCCATAGCAACGATCGGTCGAAAACTAGGTTTTTGACCAAACTTGGCATTAACTATTTTCCCCTAAGGGCAAAGCAGTATAAACATTATGAAAAGGTTGGCTGTGCAAGGGTATTAGACCTTCGGCGTGCCGAACTTTCGAACTTCCGTCTCTCTGCAGGGCATGAAGATGATATTCGAAAGTTTCCATATGGGAAAAGTTCAATTACTGGAATCTTCAATATCAATATTTATCAATCTTCAATATTTATCGATTTTACACATGTTTATTATTGCATTATATTTAAATCCTTAAGTATTTATTCTATTAAATATTGATTATCTTTTCGACTCTAAATCTTAGTTATAGCGATTCACATCGAGTTGAAGGGAACCAGATATATTTGCCTTTGCCCCGCGCAACTAAGAAAACAAACATGAAGAGCATGAAACTCGGCCAAATACAAGCCGAGATAAGCTGGCGTAGAGCCAAACGAAGAGCGGCAGACGAAGGTGCAGCGCACAATCACGGCCAGGTAATCAACTATTTAACAGGCAACGCCGGGGTGTGGGGGGGGGGAGGGGGCAAATGCCACCTCATTCATGCAAAGCGGCAACAGCTGCTGCTGCCGCACTCTCAGCTCGACATTTCGGTTGTCTGGTCGCTGCTTCGATCGCTGTTTACCTGGCAGCGCGCACCAATGCCCTACCTGAAATCCCAGGTGAAAAACAGAAGAAAAAAAACCCAAAGCAATTAACGAAATTAACAGGAGCAAGGCAAAGAGAAATAGAGAGAGGGAGAGAGAGTGCAAAATGGAGTGAGAGAAATGGCGATAAAAACTGTTAAAATTGCATGTATCACATTTTGGTTTGTGTTTATTGAAATTGTTTACCAGGACCAGGTGAGATCAGGTAAAAACGAACGGAATGTGCGCGCGAATGCAACAGAAATCGAAGCAAAAAACAACTTTGCAAATTGAAATTGAATATGCCGCATTACATACATATACATATAATATATATATATATATATATATATTTGTAATTACATACGAATTTGTATGTCTGTGTGTAAATAAAACTAAATGCAATGGCAGGAAAGAAGCAGAGTGCGAAATTAATGTTTATTATGTTTGTATATATAAAACTGTTTGTCCCGACTGACGGACTGACTGACGGACTGACTCATTGATTGACTGACAAAACAAAGGCGCACATAAGGTCGGCATATCGGCAAATTCCACCCGCATGTGTGGAAAAAACGCGAAAAGCTTTAGTATGCAACTTTTTTGTTTACCATCCGATCGGTTCCAAACTCATTTTCAATGATCTTGGTGACAAAGGTTAAAAGTTTATACTGTCAGATTCTCAAGGCAAGACCGAGTTGGCCGGAAATCGTTGATTCCAATATTTGGTTCCTTATTCCTGAACGATCAGATCAAGATGCCACGGGTGGATTTCAATTTGATAAGAAATATAATAAAAACGTAAAAGTCTGCAAACAAAAAAAAAAGCTGTTCCTTATTTGTAATTATCCTATTCCTAATCCTATGCACATAAAGCTGTGTAGAGATTATAATATTCAAAATTTCCCCAAACATATCTATGTATGTACATGGCATATACAAGGCATGGCTGCGTATGTACAGACGTATGTATTTGATTTTCGTAGCACTCCCTAAAAAAAGAATATGGGAAAAATCGCAATGAAGCTTTCCATGCACGCTTCAACAAGTCTATATTGGGGTTCCCATAGTGAAAGTTCTTGTTTTTGTTTTTGTTTTTGCTTTTTTTTTCAGTTATGCTGCGACGTGTAACGACGTGACGCAGCGAACGAACATGTCCGTACATGTCCATGCGTGCGCGCATTGCACAAGCCGCAACTCAAACTTACCCAGCAACAATTTCCCGTTAATCCAGTTGTTGTTGTTGTTGTTGTTGGCGTTCAACTTTCAATTAGTTCTTGATACTGTGTTTGGTGCAACACTTGAAACAAAACAAAACAAACAACAACAAAAATATATATATATATATAAACAGACACAACAAATTTATATATTTGCCAAGCTTGCGAAATTTTCACGGCCATGAATTACTTTTGCCGGTTTTCATTGAATTTTCGAAATCAAAAACTCACAACTCGCGACGCTGAAAAACTCGCGCACTCGCCAAGGGATCGCAGCAAACTGGCGGCAAAGTAACTGAACAACAAGAAGAAGCAGAAACACCTGCACTCATGCACAAGCTTGTAAACGCTGCTTCTGCTGCTGCTGCTGCGCATGCGTCGCAGTATGTGTGCGTGTTTTGTGGTGGCGGCGGCGGCGGCGTCGTCGGCTGCCTGTGACGGCACGCAACTGCTTGCAACAAAAAATTGTAGGTGTATTTGTGTTGGTGTTGCAACTGCGCAACCGTTTAACATAATATATGTGTATATATAATCACTTGCCACTAAAAACAACTCATGGAATAACAAAATAATTACGCAAAATAACAACAAAACATTAACGAATGCTGAACGCAAAAAAAAAACAACGCGAACGAACGTCGAATTAAACAGCCGACTCTTGCAGAAAACTCGAACTAACTGATCGTGTGACCCTCATATAGAAGCGTCGGAATGCCAGAAAAATAGGCGCACAAAATACTGACAATATCAGTTGAAAAAATACTAACAGTCTCCAGGTCTTATCTTGATGTATCGATCTATAATATCTCTATAAAACTTGCATATAGTCGCATAATAAAAACCAGCTGCAACTTATTACATATGTTGTGTTATCTGAAGTGCAAAATAAATGCGCTTGCGTCAATCGCTTATCTTATCGATAATTTTCATTCATCTTTATGTTCCAAAATGAATAACTTTAATTTGATTATGAAAATGTATACATTCTATTTTTTTTTAATATAAAAACAAAGAAAAGGAGTGCACAGTAGAAACTTAACAAAAATAAGTCACCTGCTCAATACAAAATTAAAGCAAACGGCCAAACAGAGTGACCAGCTATCAACAAGAAAATATCATATAGTATCTCAATACGCAAGTATTTATATATTTAAGAGCAACGGTCGCACTGGGCGAAATAGCGTACCGTATGTGTATATCGTAAAAGTATTTGAATTCTGATGATGATTTTATGCATAAGCAAAACAAAACATAATCTTTTGTAGATAAAAGAACAATTGTTGATTGTCTGCCTGTGAATAATTGCTTAAGTAATTGTAATTGTAAGCTTATTGGGCATACATCTTTGTGAATGTAAAAACCTATATAATTCCGATAAGTTCGATGATTGATCGTTGAGTGACTATCGATAAATGCAATATCAATGCTGTGACTGATGCCGCGCTTAATAAAACAAGTTGGCGCCTAGATAAATCTGAATAAATAAATCAAATTCAAATCAAAATGTCGATCGAGAATTTTCCGCGTGTGCACAGCTACATTGCGAATTTGTGCGCCTCGAATAAAGAATTGCATAATCTATTCGCCCAATTCGAGAATGCGCTCAAGGAGAAGCTGGAACTTGGCGAAGCAAGAACAAGTACATTAAGCCGCAAAACATATTAAGAGATTAACAGTTATGCAAGAGATTTGAACTATTCCAGAGCTGCAGAAGGATATGCAAAATTTGCGCATCGATCTGATGCTGGTGCGTCAAGCGGCCGTCCAGATGCAGGAGGAACGCAAACAGTTCGACAAATATGCCAGCATTTTAGATGCCTCCTACGAGCATCTACTCGAAATGGGCAACCTGCTCAACGATGATAAAATTAAGAATATGATGCGCTTCGCCGGCTTATGCAAACAGAACGAGGCGGAGGTGAAGCTGCAAAACATGGAGCAGCTGCAAAAGTTCGACCGGGAGTGCAAAATGGCCATGGAGAATCGTGCAATTGGTAAGTGGAATGCAATCTGTGGAATTAAGCTGCACGGTGAAACGAAACTCGATTGCAGTTAAGGATTTTCGTAAATGGCAGCGTTTGGTCCACGAAGCGGAAGAGCAATATGCGAGCATTCAGCGCGAATTCGCGCAAATGGATCGCCAGAGGAGCATCAAGATTAGGCGCGCCACACAGCAGCGCAACAAGAAGATTGTCGCCTTGGTGCAGCTAAGCAAGCAAATTGCCGAGGTAAGCCAAATGGCAAAATGAATCCTGCAGCTAAACCGCTCGAATTAACGCCCACAGCTTGAAACGCCCGTGAATGAAGTCGACAAGAGAGCCGGAGCTATGCGCGGCAAAAAGGCGCCGCTAGTCCTGCAGTCGGCATTGGACTTTCTCAGCCACTATCCAGAGGAGCGACGGGCCAAGGAGCAGGACATGGACGTGTCGGCGGCGCCAACATTGCGCTCCATTTTGGTGGTAAATCGCAGGCAGGAGGAGACGGAACGCACCTCGAGCCCCACCAAGCAAGTGCATTTTGCACCGCTGCCATCGCCAGTTCATGGCAACGACATGACCGAAATGATGAACGATGCCGAATTCGACATGATTGAACCATGCTCAGAGTCATCGGAGATGGACTCAGAAAATATGCCCACCACGGACGATTTGCCGGAACGCGCAATTGTCCAGAAAGTAGAAATGCTGCCGCGTCTGCAATTTTCTGATCTCAATATGGGCCTGAGCTTCAAGAACCTCTTCCCATCGACTAGCACCAAGCCAGCTGAAGATTGTGCTGTCGACCAGGAGACAGAATATGAACACAGCGACAAACAACTGACATCCACAATGCTGGCACATGAGGATAGCTCCGATATAAACGACTCCAATTCTTTAGACTTTTCGAATGTCAACTGCGACGTTAACGACGATTTCTTTTTGAATTTTAGCGACGGCAATGATTCGCAACCGACAACCAATCGCCTCACCTATGAGCTCTGAGAAGAATTTTTCAAATCTATTCAATTATTTCACATCTCTATAAATAATCCGTACGAACTTAGCTTTTAGGAGTATCAATTAAAAGAGAATGAAACAAGTTCTCTTAACAATAATTTGATACAAAAGTATTTAAGCCAGAAATATCAGCTTAATTTAATTTTCATTTATATATAAATTTGAAAAACTTAAAAATAAGATATAATATCGCTTTAAGTCAAAGACAATATTTAAATCATTGAATCGATTTAATTTATTTATATTCTAATTGTTCTTGAGTCAAAAGTATCTCAGGATCAAAATCAACTTAAACATATATTTTTTAAAATTTTTCGTTTCGAATATGTGAATATGTTTTATTAAACTAAAAATAAAACACATCCATGCCATACTTTAGTCAATCTGAATTGGGATTTAACTATTTGCATAGACTTCAATAATGTTTGTTTAATTTTTAATTTCAAATAATGAATTTATGTTTTGTGGCCGCCCTGTTTTGGATCACCCTGTCATGCAGTATTTTATCAGTGTAGAACATTTGTCGCACAACGCAACGTTGGTATTTTTAGTTGCTACCTTAACGCAGTCACATTGTATTTTGTCTATTCGTCGTCTCTGGTCACACCGAGAGGAGTGTTACGCGAAACACAAAAAGTCAGGCGAGCTCGTCGTTTAATTAATAAAAAATAACTTGTAAGAATAAAAAAAACATGAGTTTTTGAACGATGCAACACGAATGCATTCGATTGTGCGCATAACACATGTGACGCACAAACAAATGTAGCTTAAATTCATAGTTTGAAATCGTCACCAAATTGGCGTCGCGAACAGCGTATGTATTTTTTGTTCACCGTTTTTATCGATTAAATTGTATGTGTACGAAGAGATAGTTGCGACTATTGCTGGCGCGCAAACACGCATACTCATACACGTACAGCAGCAACAGCAACAACAACAACAGCAACAGCAGCGATTACATTTGATACATTTAGAAGCGGAGCACCCTGAAAAGCTCGCAAACAAAGCCAAACGCGGAAACTGCGCTGCGTTAATCCAAATCGAGAATTTGCCCGCATCGCAAGATGTCTTGCAAAACGGAGAACAGCGCTGCCAGCAGCAGCAGCACCAGCAGCAGCACTAGCAGCGGCTACGGCACCAGCAGCGTTCCACTTATCAGCGATAGCAGCCGCACCAGTGGTAAGTGGCAAACCACCTAAGCCCATCTCCACCCCATCTCTCTATCTCTCTCTCTCTCTCTCTCTCTCTCTCTCTCTCTCTCTCTCTCTCTCTCTCTCTCTCTCTCTCTCTGTCTCGGTGATGACCCGTTTGTTTGTGCGCAGAAATTGCTGATAAGATGCTAAACATGCGTGCGCGGGGCTCCGCAAATGGCAAGCATAAACCACCGAAACAACTGCAATCGCAGCAGCAGCCGCCGCAGCAGCAGCAGGAAGTACCACAGCTGGAAGAGCAGCAGCAACAACAAGCACAACTGCAGCAGCAGCCACAGCCACAGCCACCGCCAGTAACGCCACAAAAAGAGGCAATGTCTGCGGACGAGCGAAAAGCCACCAAGAAATCTCTAGTCATTGTCGTTGCGATATTCGTTGCCAGTTTGATGACCATGTTCTATGTCTATGCAATATTTCCCGAATTGAATGCGTAAGTGTTGATCAGTTTCAAAGTTCATTTAACAAACCAATCAAATACCCTGTAATCAATCAATGCGCCCAAAGGGAGAGCGTATTTATGCAAAAGTAGGTGCGAAAACGAACGTCTGCTAAGCATATTTGCATTTTTAACATAAAAATTCGTTGTTTTTTTTTTTTTTTTTGTTTTTTTTATACATAGTTTCACAAAAAACAATATTGGCTTAAGATCTTTTGCAGTTATTTTGTTCTTTCATTCAGTTTTTTCTCATTGTTATTATTTATTTTTAAATGAGATATACTTCGTTCAAAGGAGCTGTCGCTTATTCTGGATTCATATTCGTGTGCGTTTATTTTATAGTTTTTTTTGGTCTTAAGTTACTTTTGTCTTGATAGTTGGACGGAAAATTTCATTTTATAGATTCTCAAGACAGCTTCGCTTCACCCTTTCCTCCTGCTAAATCTAAAGCTTTAAAGCTCTATTCATGATATGTGCGTATATACGTAAATTTTGTATAACAATTAGCACAAATGTTGCAAAAACAAACAAAAACAATTTTCATTAGCGTGAGCCAGAGGAACGAAGCGATCTATTAACTATCGATGCAGCTAGGGTATCTGCTAGTCGGGCATTTGTGGCTCGCGGCTCGGACGTGCTTGTCACCTGCGCTTGTGTCATTTTCCTCTGACATTGTGACGAGCTTTGTACGGAGCTTGCGTTCGCCAAAAGTCACGCCACTTTACACTAACACACACACACACGCACACAAATACACACACACACACAGACAGAGTCGAATAAGCTTGTGCATTTATTACAGTCGTAAGTAACGCTTTTTTGTGTGTGTGTGTGTGTGTGCTCATTTTTTTTTGCTCGTTTGTTTTTCTTTTACAGCTCTGAGAAGCAACATTTGAAAATACCACGTGATATACAAGATGCTAAGATGCTCGCAAAGGTCCTGGATCGCTACAAGGACATGTATTATTTTGAAGTGATGTTCGGCGTTGTTGTCGCTTACGTATTGTATCCTTTTAACATCAGCCAAGAAAACCATAACGAAACTGATCTTCTCACACACATGCCCATACCCATACACATACATATACATACATAGAGCTGCCGGACTAGATAACGGCGTTACGCATCACGTTTGCCCACGTTCACAACGTACTTATAACCTTGACCTCATTTCGAATAGCTGCAAATGGTCAGTTTAGACCAAATAGTGTGCGACAACGACAGTCACATTCATGGTCAACAGAAGTTATCGCACACACTAACACACACGCACAGCACGCGCGCGTCTACACCCTCGTACATTTCAATAATATTATGCACGGCCACGCATAATTAGCATTGGAGACGACGACGCCGTTTCGGTTGCAAGTAGGAAGCAGAAACACACACACAATATAAAGAAGAGGAGAGAAGAAAGAGAAAAAAGAATTGCAAGAGTCGATACAACAAATGCGAGCATGTCGGAGCTTGATCAGCTGATCGACGCCTCTGCCATTGGGCAAGTGCACTTTGCACTCTCTCAGCTCTCTGCAGAAGCGTGTGCAAGACAGAGAGAAAGGGAGACGCACATGCTGACGCATACATGGCAGCTCTCTTTCTATCCCACACTGTCTTGCGTTCTCGGCCTTTCACTGCATGTTTATAAACAAATACAAGAGTGTAGAGCTTAGCTGCGCACGCCGCAGACGAAATACCCTAGGCTCAAATGTGATTACACAAGAAATTTACTTACTGATAGGATTTCGCTCATGTGTTGAAAGCACAGTGAAGCTTGTAAATGCCAAGATTGGTTAAAATATGACGAAAACAAATTAGTACTTTGTGAAAGAACTCAAAATTTCGAACGATAATTTCTACTGACCAAAATACAGAACGCTGGCAAGTTTAAAGGCCGTCGATACTGATCCGGAAAACAAACATGTTATATATTCGGAAATACCCAATTCTATGCTTTACGTATTGCATGACAAGATTATAATACTCTCAGCAAGTGTATGGAAAAAAGCACAATCACACGCATACAACAGCGTGTGCATGTGCCTATGTGTGTGTGTGTGTGCGTGAGCTTGCGTCTCATACACAAAACAGCTGAGAACTGGTCATTCTTTTTATTTTTTAATTTTTCATTGTTTTGCCCATTAAAAAAGCACGCACACACATATGTATACATATTTATGTATGTATGTAAATACACACGTGTATTTGTATGCATGCGTGCTTACATATTTTTTCTGTTTAATCATTTACAATTAGCCAAAGCAGCTGGCGACGCAATTCCGATTTCACGTAGCGATTGAATGATCTGTAAGCTGGTTTTGTTAATAATATAATTTTTTGTTATTTATAACAAAACAATTTTTCTGCTGCATACGTTAAACATTTGCCACTGCCATGAATGTGCGCGCATGTGTTGCCATTACGGACAGAAGAACGATAAAAAATTTGCTTGACTTTTGTAATATAATATATGTATGTGTAAATATTTATATAATATTATTCATTCAAGCTGGCAAAAGTTTATGCATGTTCTCTTTTTGAAGACGGAATCTGCATTGAGCCTATATTGTTACTCAAGCTTTACTTCTATTGAGATATTTCTTTACTAAGACAGACAGATTTCATAGAACTTTCTGAGTCATTCAACAGATTGATCTCGAATTTATTTTCAAGCATTTATTATGTATTTAATGGATTTTATAATAATTCAGCTAATATGTAAAAAATATGCCAAAGCCAGATAAATACTTGCAATATTCATATTCAAGCTGGCAAAATTTGTTTTTTTTTTTTTTTAGTGTTAAATTCATTTAACCGATTCTCTGTTTTGAAGGTTCGTTGGGTTCTTGACACCGGGGCCCGGGGCTGATGACAAAAACGTTTCATTTGCCATTTTTTGTTATCGTTCATTTCTTGGCTGGCACGTCTTGAATTCGGGTCGAAATCGAGCGATTGCGATTGCCATTGTCAACGTGTGTTTTACTTGACTATTAATAGTCGACGATCCAACCCAGCCAGTTGGCAATTAATCAGATGATCTGTTTTTAGATGCATTTATCTAGACCCTAGGCAATATGTATGTACATCACGACAATATCTATTCATTCATTCGTTCATTCATTGACATACTCATTTATCTTGCGGAAATTGGTTGCCTTAACTGAACGTGTTTTATATAGCCTACAAACATTTGCCATTCCTGGTTCGTTATTCCTGTCGATCTTGCTTGGATTCTTATACAAATTCCCAATTGCATTGTTCCTAATTTGCTTCTGCTCGGCGCTGGGCGCCACGCTATGCTATACGCTCTCCAATTTGGTTGGACGCCGACTCATTCGACACTTTTGGCCAAAGAAAACCAGCGAATGGTCCAGACATGTGGAGGAATATCGTGACAGTCTCTTCAACTATATGCTATTCCTGCGCATGACACCGATCCTGCCCAATTGGTTCATCAATTTGGCTTCGCCGGTAATTGGTGTACCCCTGCACATATTTGCGCTGGGCACTTTTTGTGGAGTCGCACCGCCATCGGTGATTGCCATACAGGCGGGTAAAACCCTCCAGAAGATGAGCAGTTCAAGTGAAGCCTTCTCCTGGACCTCTATGGGTGTGTTAACACTATGCGCGTGCGCATCGCTGCTACCTGGACTACTTAAAAATAAATTTAAGAAGAAGAAGAAGAAGGCGGCGTAAGATTCTGGAAACTGGAGAACGGATTCGAACCTTCTCGAGAGCTGAGAATAGAATTACAGTACCAAAAAAAAAAAAAAAAAAAAAAAACAAAAGCAGAAGAAAAAACATACCCTCTTATGTTGTTGATTTGGGTTGTTTAACGCGTACATACAACCACATGCAAATATTGATAAAACCTGCATATATCTATATACATATATTTTATTATTATTACTTTTTTAGGTTTGCCTTTAGTTCTTACAAATGTACCATGTATATCGAACTGCTATTTCCAAAAAAAGAAAAAAAAAACAAAAAAAACACATCATGAGAAACATAATAAATACGCGTATATATATATATTTCTTGTGGAACAACAAACTTGATAAACTCCGAGTATCTACTATATAGGTTTAGGCATTAATAACTATTAATTTTTTTTTTGTATAGTTTTTTTTTTTTTTTGTTTTTTTTTTTTGTAATTTAACATACGAAACTTTTGCAAAATATATTTCCGTAACTTGTTTTAAGTTTAGTGAAACTTTTTTGTTTAATGCTATTGCAGTATTTACGAGAAATATTATCGATAAGTAAACCAATTAGCAAAAAACTAATTAATTCTATATACATATATATATATATATATATGTATATATATATGTTTGCGAGCAAATACATACATATTGAAAAAACTACCAACTCGTTTGTCTTATTACAGCCGGCAAGTAAAACAAGTTTTTTTTTATCTCAATCTGTGGGTTCTTTTTGCAAATTCACTTGGTAAATTGTGTTACTTTGGTGTTCTACAATTTCTGTAATATTGATTCTTCGAGTTGTTCAAGGGATCTAGTCTTGTGTGGATGTATTGATGTCGAGCGTAGTGATTTATCCTAAAGTGTTCAGACTCAGGATGTGTTTTAACAGATCTTAAAATCTTGTGCCTCAACTTAGAAAATTTAAAAAAAAAACTATCTTATTCTGAATAAATTTATGCATAGCCTGCAGAGAGCAACATGCAATATTTTTGTACAATAACTAAGTTTTCTAAATTGGATATGCTTAGTACATATATTTAATTTAATTTGATTAAGCTAAGTTAAGTTGAGCTTTGGTGCTTAAAGCAATACAATAACACACAAGAGCTTTGCCTATTGGCGGCTTTTTCATGCTTTATCAACGTGAAAGCGTTTCGACAGGTTTGTGGCAAGTTAAGGTTTTTGCGTTTGGTTATTAAAGCCGCTTAGTTGACTGTAAAGCTGCCATTGTTAAAAGCTTTTTGCCGTTCATACTAAGTTTTCGCCCTTGGTGTGTGTTGTGGGAAATTTTGAATTTTCCAAAAGCTTTGCTTTTCTCGATTTCTAGACACAGTTGGTTCAAACATATTTCATTTGTGCTTTTAACAGTAACAGAAATAGTGTACGTATTTAAATGGGCTTCAAAATAACCGTTTCTACGATTTCTACAAACAAACGAACAATTTTTAATTGTCATCTATTCACAGGAGGGACATAAATGTAGATATAGCTATAGATGAGGGATGGAGTAAGGCAACTTCTTAATACACTATGTACTTTCAAACAATGAATGAAAACCTGTGAACCTTTATTGAATTCATGAAAATCGCATAAACACATAAATACATACATACGTACATGCTTACATGTATGCATATATACATACAGGTATACATACAAATCTAGAGTTATTAATGTACAAGCGCATACATACATGCATAAATACACATACGTACTTATCAAAAATAATATTAATAATACTATATTATGTATGCAACAACATTTTAATAGAACAGTCATAACTGACGCATGAATACCTGTGAGCCTTACTTGAATTTATGAGAATCGAGTAGTAGGGCAATGGTGAAATGTACGCCATTTTTTATTTGCAGCGCTGCAGAAAGTAATAGAACTTACATGCAACATATACATGCACATGCACAAAAACACATAGCATAATGTTGCTCATTTTTATAATCTCATTTCTTCGTATTGATAAGAAAGTATAACCCATGCTTGTAAAGAGTTAGCTAAGGAAACAATCCTCGAGCTGGCGAACTGTGATTAATTTCATGGTCAAACAAAAATTTGTATGTTACCTGGTCTTTATGACGTGCTACAGGTGTCCCCCCACAAAACAAACACTTTTGAAAGGATATGGTGCCTGTTTCCCATTTGTCCAAGGACTTTGACTTGATAATTGAGTGTGCGTATGTGCATGTGTGTGTACGAGTGTGCGAAACTGAAATTATATTAATGTCATCGTAATTTGGTCTGTTATGCGTTATATGGGTGGCAAAGTGTAAAAGATTTGCCAAGTTTTGCTGATTGACTCAAAATATGCACATGTTTATTAAGCTTAAGTAGGCAAGCCCACACACACACACAGACTTGCTTAAACAAACAAGCTTAGGGCAGCCGCCGACACGCTCCACAGTTTAATGCACACAAAAGTTTGTACACTGTAAAAAATGCTGTACAATAAAGGAATTCAATTGCGAATTTTAAATGGACTGCACTTGACATTGTTAGGTTATTTCATGGAGTGTCAAAATAGTTTTGTCAAATTCAGTTTTTGAAAATTTGTATCTTATACTATTATGTTTTTTTCAGTGTATTTTCATCACTATTTTGGTCATAGTCTCTATTTGTCCGTCACATTTGCTGCAAATTCTTATCACAGGACAACCCACACACACTATTGTGCATATTTGCCATGTGTTGGTAAGGGGGTGGGTGTAGGGGCGTGGTAATTGTTGTAAATTTATTTATATACTTCATTAGCCAAAAGCGCTCAGCGTGTGCTCCGAGACACTGCCAGACGCATTGTTGACCGGGACGCATCTGCGCGATTTCTGCACCCCAATCCCGTCCGGCGGATTTGAATCTGTGCACTGTACTTTTGATCCGTTGGCCGCTTAGCCAAAGGTGGTCAGCCAGTTGCCTATTGCCGGTTGCTGGCAGCCCGCTGAGATGCCTAATTGATGTGCCAATTCCAAATCTGCTCTGGCTGTGGGTCCACAGTCATGTGTCCGGCACGTCTGCAAATTATGCAAATCAATTATGCGACACGCTTCTGACCGCCAGCTGCACACATTGAGCACCTATAAGGGACCTTAACAGGCGTGTGGCACTGATATGCTGATAGTGATACGATTACGGACACTCACGCACACCTTCACACATCTTTATGTACGTACATTGTCGTAGCTGGTCCGATTTTTCGGAGCAGACAGGCGCTCAGCAAAGCCCCATTGTCAGACGACATTGACGGACGTGACGTTCGTTGCCTAGCTTTAATTGCATAAAAATCTGTGTGTGTGTGTGTGTGTGTGTGTGTGTGCTGGCAGGTCTGTCTAATCCCGCGCTTCTAGCCTTAGCTGTTTGTGTGCGTGTGCGTGCGCGCCTGAAAATAAAACTTTCTAGGACTCTAATTGACAACTTAAGCACACAGCCAGGACTTTAGTCCATCCAGATGATGCCCGGCTGGCAGTCCATGACCTTCACACACGCTAAACGACTTAGCTTCGTGTACAATAGCACGGGCATTTCCATTACTGTGCTTGCAGTAAAGGTCCAAGGAAGTAGTGGCACTGACAAGTGCTCAACATACCCTGTTTCTTAGGCAAGGCTGCAAATACAACGAATGCCATGTGAATAATCAATTGGAATTTTGCATCCTTGTTGTTAATCAGATAGATCATGTTTTGAAAAGTATGTGGCTTATGCCGAAACAATGCAGAAATGGTTAAGACTTGGTCACCTTTTACCTTAAATCTAATTTGCATATAGTTACTGCTGGATTACTTATAAGTATATAATATAAATTATTAATTTATGCTCCGACATTTTTTACTTGAGCAATTTTCAAAATTTCTTACATAAATTTTGATTCGCAAGGCATATTTTTCAAATTTCTTGATTTATTTTTATTTTATTTTTAGAGAATTGTTTTAAATTGATCAATTTATTTTTTTCTGCCAAGAAAATGTATTCAAATTCATAAGATTATTTCTACTCTCTCAAGAAATTGTCATGTTTTATACTCTCATATTTATTCCGTAAGATATTTCATCGCATATTGAACTCATTTAGATGCTTTGAAATGGTTATACCCTTTTTATTTTATTGATAGGGTATATGCAATATATATACAAGTAATTGGCGTCCGGCTCGAATGGGCCAAGTGTTCTGCATGCCTTTTTGACGTTTTTAATTACATTCATTTGCCGTCAACAAATCGAGATAATTCTGGACCTCTTCTAGGCTTTACTACCTCCCTAATGCTAATTATGGCATAATGACAAAAGAAATATACAGGCGAGCATACTGTACGGTATTTACACACGTATGCACTTACATTTAAGTGTGCGCGAGGGGCAAATTACAAGTTGTTAAGGTAAAAACCTTTAATTCCGAACTTCGAGAATTTGGGTTCTAAATATGCGAATACTAATTATAATTAAGTGCCATATATAAAATCCCCCCCACTTTATACAGTTATAAGAAAATTGAAGAGTATATAAGTTTTGGTTTTATTTTATTTTAATAATTCAGCTAAGAACATGCCATATATTGGTTTTTTTTTGTAGAATGGCGCCTAACAAATCCAAGCATCGCATAGGCCTGAGAGATAATATAGTTGACTTAGAACTTAGAATCCTAGCATCCGGTTTACCAGTAAGTTCTTGTCCTTTAATAGAGTATGATGAAAGAGGTTCCTAAGAACGTATGCTAAATAGCTTTCTTGTGCTTGTAGCTTACTCAAAAAGATAATCAAATCTTTTATTTCGGGCGACAATTTTTACTATATATCTAAGTATAGATCAAGCAATAGGAGCCAAAAAGTTGATTTACTGACGCCATTTTTTGTCACTCAGGCTGCAAAACTTTTCTGACCACCCTCGTAGGCATATAGGTGGCTTGAACCTTTGATACTCCAAGTCCATTGGTAATGGGTAAACGGGGTATTATGTTTATTTTTTTTTTTGCACTTGGGGCTGCCATTAGCAGCTAGTTGAATTTTTATGAACCAACAATTAAACATACTTTGCATTAACTAGTCGTCGGCTGGCACGCAGATTTTCCCAGCAT